CACACACACACACACACACACACACACACACACACACACACACACACACACGTATATAGGTATGTATATAATATTATCATATAATAGACAAGGGTAATGAGTTGAGGGGAATTTTGATTTACACTTAAAACACAACATACCTTTCTTTTGGTTGGAAACTAAGGCAGGGAGTAAATAAACACCTAAACTCAATAGAATCCCGACCAGCGTCAACTTCCCACAAAACTTGGCGTTAAACCTGCAAGAAACAATAGAAAATCGAATGTGATTCGATACACTACGCTTAAAAATACATTTCGACTCGGTATTTCTTATGCTGAGACCCCCTTCCGTCTACCCCTATCTAAGATGGGATTTTTTTTCTTGCTCCCTTGCAATTCCGTCTTACGCAGGTTTGACTGTATTTATAACGCAAGGAGCCCTACAGAGTATGAAAAAACCTGTCACATACGTAAAGCAGTCCATTGCACCATGCAGGTTAAAGAAACAGCAGTTGATTACCCCATAGATCTAGTACAGAAACGTAAAGAACAGAAGTATAATAGAGCAAAACGATGAGATACGAGTTATAGATCAAGAGTGTAGCCACAGACAGCCGAACTGAAACTGTCTTTTTCGTGAGATGTCACGGCGACACAAACGTATCTGCACCGAGAGTGAGTCTGGGTCACGTGAGTTCCAAACTGAAGTTTCAAAGTTTACTTTTACCCACATTGATATACGTGAACTGTACACTTGAGTTTCGGTTTCGCGTGCTCTTCCTTCTTTTTTTTTCTATTTTTTTTTTTTAGATTCGCGATTTGAATCACCCAATGTCATGAGTTCCAATGCAATAATACTCATTTTAACATTTAGCAGAAGCGCTGAATTCGCATTTTCTCAAAGAATTGCGAAACCTGCGCATTCAAATCGTGCACGTAAAAAACAAACACACCCCCTCACCCAAAAACCCCCCAAAATAAACAAAGCCAAACCAAAACAAAACAAACCCGGTCCGGTACACAGTACAGTAGAAATAGTAGACGTATACACGAGTGGTGTTGTATTAGAGTCAACATAATTTCATTCTCGACTTCTCAACAATTTTATGTCTGGGCAAAGCTTTTTCCCGAAAAGAAGACTTGTTATAGTATGTTTCATACTTCACTGAACTGAAAGGCTATCGTATCCTGACTTTCTCCAGCCCACCGACCTGGCTCAGAGTCTGTGGCGTCCACGCCACGGTGGTTGGTGATTGATGGGCATTGGGCCCTAGTCTGAGCTAGGACACGTCACACAGAGGCCGGTAAGCCCCCCTCCGGTCCTGTGTCAACGAGGTTTTTCGCTGTGCCTGAATAAAGATGCGTATTTCCCCCGTTTCCCATCTGTTCTCCGCCTCCCAATCTTTTTAGTTTTGGTAAGAGTTTTACGGCACTTGCAACACGAATAGACTATATGAGTGTTAAAGATTTTTAAAACAATGGTACCAGAGAGTAACAGGCAAAGAACTTGTGAAGGAGGAGATATGCGGATGAAACACGGTTGGTGGGAAAAAAGGCGTAAACCACACCTG